GAGGTTAGAAACTACATTCCGATTTTGTCCCCAAAATTGCTTCTCGTTAATTTTGGGTGCATTGATTTATAGTGTTAACACATAGTGATGTTATTCCGTCGTTATTAATAAGCTCAATGTATCCGTCCGATTGGTTTTATATTTGTAACAAATGCTCTCATCTCCGCGTTCGTTTTGAAACACCATTTGGCTGCAACTTCAAGGACGAGTAAGTTGTTTGACAGTTTATGTCGTTCCTGTGTTGGTTGCTAGCATCATAATTGTGTTCTCAGATCCTGATGAAGGCTCCATCGAGAATTGCCGAAAGCTATCGTCAAAAGAGTTAACTAAAGCCTAAAAAAAGTTTGCCAATTTCCCAATTAACAATTACTTGTATATTTTTCCCAACAGGTCGTTGGCAATGGCAATGACTACTGCTCATATATATATATGATTGTATATATATATATATATATATATATACAATCAACTGTTAATTGGGAAATTGGCAAAAAATTTTTAGGCTTTAGTAAACTCTTTTAACGGTAATCTCGAGCTTTCGGCTTCTCTATGGAGCCATCGTCGGGAGCTGAAAATACAAATATGAAGGTCGCAACCAATACGAGAAGGGCTTAAATTATCAGACAACTTACTCGTCGCTGAGGTTGCAGCCAAATGGTGTTTCAAAACGAAAGCGTGGATGGGAGCACTTGTTACAGATATAAAACCAATAGGACGGACACATGGGTTTACTGATAACGACGGAATCCATCGTTAGGTGTTAACACTATATCAATACACCCGAACACATTAAAAATTATCGAAAAGCAATTCTGCGGGAAAAACCGGCAGAGTCCCTTCTAACCTCCTACATCTGTTTCACGTGGAGAAAATGAGCGTAGCGGAAGAGTGATGCGTCGACAGATGACAGGTGATTGTCGCGAAGGAATATGGAAAGGTATAAATGATGATGATATTGTTGAAGTTTTTAGCAGCTATGATCCCTACATTCAGTTCACCATCGAAAAAGAAGATAATAATCAATCAGTTCCCTTTTTGGACTCAAGATTGATTCGTACCAACGATAATATATTACTGGTAGACTAGTATAGGAAACCAATTTCATCTGGAAGGTTCCTGAACATCAGGTCTTACGACGAATTTGAAATAAAGATAAACCTGGTGGAACAAATGAAGAACAGGGTAATAAAAATCTCTGACAATACTTTGCATCTTTCCAATTTAAGGAAGCTTTCAGTCTTATTCGTCAATAATGGTTATCCGAAATATTTGGTTAACAGAATCCTGTTCAGCCCTCTTCCTAGTATTTTGACAATTGTGAATAACAATATTGACAATGACAACACTGTCCTGTTCAACCCGACGCCCATTAATTCTTCAACTAATGAGAATCACAGGACTACGGTTGATGCATCTATTTCTAGAGTTAATTATGTTGTCTTGCCATACATCAAAGAATTAACTCCAAACTTGGTCAGGGTGTATAATTCCTCAAATTGTCGTTTTGCTTGTAAATCAGTTCTCACAGTCAACAGTGTGCTTTTCAAAATGAAGAATAGGGTTCAGCTGCTTGATTCAACCAACACTGTCTATCGCATTAATTGTAACAACTGTAGTTTAGTTTACATTGGCCAAATATCGAGATCACTGAAAGGCAGGATAACCTCACACAAAAGTGACGCCCGATTACATCAAGAGAGATGTACTTTAGCATCGCATGTCAACACCACAGGCAGAGTTATGACAGTATTAAGGTTCTTGACAAGGAACAACTACTCTCAAAACGTCTTTTTTCAGAAATGTGCCACATTTTCATGACAGATCATTGCATGAATAAAAAGGCTGATGTTAAGCAGCTTAGTGTCATTAATTCTTACTTGTTGAATTGCGAAAAGTTAGAACGTCTACATATTCCAGTTGATCTAGCGTCCTCCCAAATTAAAACACAATTCCAATAAATTATTTATCCTGTTCATTGCAATATTGCCCTCACGGTAATAATAAATTTTAATATATTTTCATACAACCCATCTTTTCAAGCGTGTATCTCCATTTTACACTCGTACACTCATAAGAATTACACTTTTTCCAGAACAAATTTAAACCAGCATTTTGGAAAATAGGATGAGTTTTTACCGAGCGTCCCTCGTATACACTATATCGGAAGTGGGGCAATGATGTTTACATTTCCACATTCCTTCGCGACAATCACCTGTCATCCGTCGACGCATCACACTTCCGGTTCGCTCATTTTCTCTACGTGAAACAGATGTAGGAGGTTAGAAGGGACTCTGCCGGTTTTTTCCCGCAGAATTGCTTTTCGATAATTTTTAATGTGTTCGGGTCTATTGATATATAGTGTTAACACCTAACCATGGTTTCCATCATTATCAATAAACCCAATGTGTCCGTCCTTTTGGTTTTATATTTATAACAGGTGCTCTCATCCACGCTTTCGTTTTGAAACACCATTTGGCTGCAACCTCAGCGACGAGTAAGTTGTCTGATAATTTAAACCCTTTCCGTATTTTTTTCTAGCTTCATATTTGTGTTTTCAGCTCCTGAAGATGGCTCCATAGAGAAGCCGAAAGCTCGAGATTACCGTTAAAAGAGTTTACTAAAGCTTAAAAATTTTTTGCCAATTTCCCAATTAACAGTTGATTGTATATATATATATATACAGGGTTATCCAAATTAAGTGTCCACCATTAGTAACCTTGTTATTAGTGAAAATACAAAGTTGTTTGAATTAGCAAACTAGTAGCATTTTTAACGCTGGTAAAAATGAGAAATAAAAAAAAACAATTGAGAGTCGTTATTTTGATTTTTTTCAGTAAAATAACATTTTTTTAAATGGAAACCCCTGTATATTATATTTTTTTCTGTTAAAGCATCAAATTTTAAACAAAAAAGCTTACAATAACTTTTCTCCTAGGTTACAAATTGTTGAAGTTATGGCCTCCAATCTGAAACAATTGAATTGTATTGACAAACTTTATTTTCAACATCAACTTATAATCTTACAAAATACAATAACAATTTTTTTTAAAGAAGATGCTCTAAAACACCACCTTGTTCTTCAATACATTTTTGGGCACGTTTTTCAACTGCTCGAACTGTCTTAAGTATGGTCCTACCATCTATCTGGGTTATCTTTTCCCTAACTGCAGTCTTTAACGCGTCAAGGTTATCGTACCTTCGCTTGTAAATTTGGTTCTTTAAGTAACCCCACAAGAAGTAATCAAGTGGGTTTAGATCTGGTGATCTGGGAGGCCACTGTATTGGGCCATTTGTTCCTATCCACTGATCATTAAAAGTAGTACTTAGAAAATGATAAGTACCTCTGGAGTTGTGGGCAGGTGCGCCATCTTGCTGAAAATGCAGATGATGTCTACTTATAAGATCCAATTCGTCTAAGAAATTAGTCAGAATTTCTGACATAAATTCCACATATCTTTCACCAGTTAGGGTTCCCTCATAAAAGAACGGGCCAACAATTTTTGAACCAATTATACCGCACCAAACGTTGAAACTGAAACGGACTTGTGGGCCTCTTGGATGTTCTAACAAAAGATTCTCTCTTGACCAATAATGGTGGTTTTTTCTATTAAACATTCCAGAATTTGAAAAATTTGATTCATCTGTCCATAAAAGGTAACGAAAGTTATTTACATTTTGGCGACAGAAGCTAAGATACCAATGGCAAAAAACAAGTCTTCTCTCTGGATCCCCTGCCAAAAGCGTTTGAACTGGTCGGTACTTATACGGAATAAATTTGTATTTTTTAAAATCCTTTGAACAGTACCATAACTGAAATTAGAGTCCTTGAGAATATCTGCTATTGAATTCTCACGATAAGCTTCAAAATATCCAATAACTGCAATTTCCGTGGCCTCGCTTATTATGAATTCTTTTTTTGCCCTTGTTTTAGCAAAAACATTTTCGTTGTCCCTAAATTTTCGATAAAGTCTCAGAAAATATCATTCATACGGTTGAATGCGAGCGGGATATAATTCACTGTAGTATTCTCTTGCTCTCAATGAGGATTTTCTGCACACTAAATAGCATTCTAACATATCACACTTTTCTTCATGGGAGAACATTTTTCTTTAAATTAATGACACAATAAAGCTTATAAACAAGTATTTACACTAATGTTTGACATTATTTGATTTTATCATTGTTTTCCAAAGCCTTCTAGTTGCGAGTATGTCCAGTTTAACAATTTGTCGCTTATCTTAATGCTGTCAAATCGCAACGCCATGTTGTTTTCATAGCCGTCTTAATATTATAATACTGCAAATAATTAAAAATATTTATCGTTATTTTGACTTTATTTTTGACTTTAGCGGAAAAGTCATTATGAACTTTTTTGTTTAAAATTTGATGCTTTAACAGAAAAAAATATAATATACAGGGGTTTCCATTTAAAAATAACGACTCTCAATTGTTTTTTTTTATTTCTCATTTTTACCAGCGTTAAAAATGCTACTAGTTTGCTAATTTAAACAACTTTGTATTTTTACTAATAACAAAGTTACCAATGGTGGACACTTAATTTGGATAACCCTGTATATATAGGTGAAAAATTAAAGCTTCCGCCTTTTGTTGGGTACTTCGACGAAATTTAAGCAAGAGGACTCTTTATACTTTTTTAATTCTCTCTAGCTTTCAATGGACTTTGCCATCATCATCAGGAGAGTAGTATGTGAGGATGTTGCTAATTGTTGTTTACGTATAGGATGAGGGAAACGTCCAGTAACATGGTGAGAGCTGGATAGATGGTACAATGGTCAAAATTATATAAAATATGACAAGAACAAGTTAAAAACAGATTAAAAATTATTTAAAAAACGACAATGACCACGTCTCAAGTTATATATATATATATATGAGATCGAAAGGAGTTTAGCTCAAACATTCGATGCCATCTTATCCAACTGTATAATAATAATTAGTAATAAGGCAATTTTTCCAAGACTTCCAGCAAGTTCCCTTACCGTTCGATCTAACATCAGCGGGCATTGCAGTCACTGGGGAATACACCTCCAGACGCAGAAGTCCCGTGCTGGCGGCGCGGATCCGAGATTGGCGGCAATCCTTCCAATGGGCAGGTGCCGCTGTGGGGGCGGCGGCCTGGTCCCAGAGCGGCTGCCCCGCGACGCGCGACTCCCGCATCCGTACACTGCCGCGACGCGAGGCCAGGCTTCCAGACGGTAACGGCGCTGTTATCGAAGTAGGATCGTTAAGTAGCTGTGGTGAAGGAGTTTGGGACATTTTGCTTCACGATGCACCATTGAGCAATTTTTTTATATTGAAGGACCCACGCAGGCAGAAACCTAAACACCAGAACCCCGCGACTACTATATGAAGATCAGAGACACATTTTTATTACGTCAAATGTTAGTAACCTCCTCGCGCAGATCAATATGGAGGAAAACTCTGAGGACGTACCTAAGTCTATTTGCCATAGGGCCAAATTGCCGCTACCGCCCATTAGAGAAGCGTCACCGATCAGTCGTATATCCCTCCTCTGAACAATCTTAAGTATGGACAATGTAATCGGGGCTGCAGCACCCCAAACATGTGAGGATAGACATAGTGAGAAGGTAATGTGGAGAAAGGAACTTCTTAGTCCTAAGCAAATAGCCTAGCTTTTTTGTGTTAGTGCCAGATCAAGACCTGTGATCTGGGCTCCGACCAGCCGAAATGAATGGCTTCCTCTGAACAGCATGGAGTGGAGACAATGTAGTCGGAGTGCCAGCACCCTCAGCATGTGAGCAGTACTAGAGGCTAGGTCTTATCTGGGCCTTGTACAGAGTGTGGAGGTTATGTCGAGAAAGGGCCCCAAGCAGTGACAACCTCCAGATCTTTCTTCAGAGAAAAAAAAAGCTGCTAGCCTTCTTCTCTTCAGCTCGCTGGCAGAGATCGGCTCTACACTCTGAATGCCTGCATGTAGAGTGCTGTTATCAGCATAGCTACCGATCGGACTAATTTGTACAGAAGAGAAGGTCGTTGCTATGTAATAAGCACGATGTTGAAGCCGAGGCCAATCCCTGACGAACACTCGCATTGACATTGTGGGATAAAGAAGAGATCTGTCAACCTCGACGGATATCTTGCAGCCAGAGAGGAAGTCAGCCACCCATCTGCAGAGCTTGTTTTGGAGGAACTTTGCCTAAGAGGTTTATGGAGAACAGGTGCTGAAGCTCAACATTAAATTTATCTCACACACCTGATACACTTGGTATTTGTTAGAGGATATGTCATTAACGCTGAGGATGTTTATCAAGACTGAATGTGATATAGGAAAGAGGAAATTGTCACTTATGATCTACATATAGCCTCACACACTTACTGTTACAACTCAGTAGGGATGAATCCCATGCTGTCAGATAGAAGAGGATTTTTCTAACAAAAGAGGTAAGTTCCGAAATATTATACTCGTATAATGAATCTTTAAAGATCATTACAAAACGGTATATGTATAAAAAGCAAACAACAAGGAGTTCAAAATATGTGAGGTGAATTTATAAAAGTAAACTGTATTATTAAATAAATGTCAATAAAACATCATGACATCATCTCCGTGAGTTAAAATTGCTTAAAGCCCTTGAACATGACAATTCTCCATCCGATGATATAATAAGGTTGTGGTAATCAACAAGTATATCTTGACAAATAACAATAGCCCAATAGCCATAGAAATCAACACAAATTGTGAAGATTAGATATTTATCTAGGCAATGAGGCAACATACATAGCAAATATAGAAATTATGTATTACCTTGTCATGAATAAGGACTTAACACTGGCACGAGAGTTTTTAACTCGGAAGCATGTTGCAGTTTCTTTTTATGATTGACTAAAAATTAACTATATCTTGATAAAGTAAATTATTACAACGTTTTTCTTATTTAGAACTAGCTGACCCGACAGACGTTGCCCTGTCTTAACTACGTGTATGAACTGAAACGAATAATGAATAATAAGAGGGTAAATATATAAAATGTAGGTAATCGTATAGCGAAGTGTTTGTAACGCCAATGTGGCTAGCAAAATACGTTGGCAGCACTGTCATTCCCCATAAACTTACCTTGACAGTAGGCATAAAATTATGCGGAATTAATTTTGTCGCGCCAAATGAATTATTGTATTGCTGGATATGAGTCAAAACATGAATAGAATCTGGCCCATTTCTGGAAACCAACGAATGTAGTGACTCTGGTGGTGGTACGAATGGCCCAATGGAGTCAATTTGATCTTTCCACCGACGCAACATAATCCAGGGGCTTCATTTTTAAACGTGAAAGCCTTGCAATGTGGACCCACAACGTGCATTGGTCCAATGATTTTTGAACTGTAATAGATTGCTACGTCATAAGTGAATGCAGCTCGAATGGGATTAAAAAATGCAACGTTGTTGAATTTCAGTCCTTCGATCCGTTCAACTTCATTTCTCGCTTTCCGTTGCTCATCAGTTTGATTTCTTCATATATATCTTTGACTTGCAGCATTGCGAGTTCTGCGACCTAGGTTGGTACGTCTAATTGGTGGCATTTTGAAGAATCATAATTTTAATATAAGCCAAGATTGCGGTGAGCTAACTTCTACCCTTATTAATTATTTTTTGACAAATACTTCTGAAAAAACTCACTGAACAAATTGAAAACTGGATAAAAGCTCTAATCGGATGGACTGTGAAGTACTAATTATATAAAGCAATATTTTTTCATCGATAAACATTGTTAAATGATAATATAAATTGCGGCGTGGGAGCTGTCAAGTTCAAAATGATAGAGTAGTGAATGTCAATTAAGCAGGAGAAACATATTTTCATCCGCCATTTTTATTCATAGAGTTATCTCACAAAGATAACAGGCAATACTGCAGTTTGTGTTGAAGTAGCTACTCAGATATTATCTAAAGAGACTTGATTATTATGTTATAAAGATGTTTTATCAACATGGCACAAATAATGCATTGGCACTTTTAAAAACAAATATCTCGAAAACTATTAGCTTTAGACACTTCTAACAAGTACACCTTTTTTGTTGTGGAAATAGGAGAAAATAAGATTTTTCGGTCAGTTGTTGTATACAGAGTAGCACAAAAATGTTATGGTAAGTTATATACCGAAATAGTACTGTAAGTGGCGCCCTCTAGAAGGTTGGTCATAAAAATAACGGATTCTTGTTTCTAATACTAGAAAACTTCTCAAGCAATAAGAAAAAACAAAGAACCAAATTGTAACTTTGACACCCTGCATCTCGCAAACTATCAACTTTTGGACTGAGGTATGTTTAGGTCAATTCTCATATTTTGGTCTGAAGTATCTCCAGTTTTGAGATTTCCCAACCTTTCGCAGACCCCTGTAATAATAACAATTCCATAAGAGTTCTTAAAAGTATTTAATTTTATTTCTATCGCAAAACACTTCTCTTCTTCTGGGGTGGAGGATGGCCCTGTACTCTCCATCTCTTTTCACGTCATTACCGTTGATGTTTCTATTCGACAATAGAGGGCGTCCGGTATCGTCAATGCAGGGATGGCCAGGGAACGAGAACGGCTTCGTAATAGAATTGTCGTGTGAGCTTAAAACTCATATTTTTTTTGTAATTTCCGTCGACCGTAAATGCGAGAGCTGAACGTGACTTGGTGCTCTCGTGTAGCAGTTCAACCTGCGTTAGTGAAGCAATTTCGCACCCAGTGCCGGGTTGTGGAAATTTTGATAGAAATCGGCCTCAATTGGTGAATTTTGTTGTCGGGGTCTTTTTCTCACCCTCTCGAGGATTTAGTCGTTGTTGCAGCTACGCCTAACTCATCGAGCTGAGGGGAACTGTCTGCATTAACACTCCCAAACGATCTATAAGTAGGACTCACGTCTAAGAGAAGCAGTCGCCATTTCCGTGAACCCTCATTGTTCGAGGGTTCTATCTTAGGGCTTTGATTTACATTTAGGACTTCCTACCCTTGGTTGATTTTGTTTCGGAGCTTCCATTTGGGTAGCCTTATCTTTCTTGTGTAGAAATAGATTAATCCCACCATTCTGTAATATCCCAGCACCTACCAAGGTGATGTTATTTTAATTTTAGTTTTTGCTGGAAACCATTTAACTGGGGGGTAGTATCAGCTAATTTCCTTTTGCTTATCCCCCAGGACTTCTTTTAAAAATTTGTTTTGTTCAATAAATGATTGTGTGCCTTGTGAATTTGTGTCTTCTTCAGCTCCAGAGACCCATCATCTGGCAGCCAATTTAAGTTATAATAGGCCGAATGATACTACTTCCTTTTCTTAGTTCTTGGAACTAAGTGGCGCCCAAACCTCAAACGTCTGTATCAAAGACCAAAGTACAAATAACCACACTCTGGGGTCACATTATCTACCAGCTGAGCGCAGGGTTTGTTATATTTTCATCCCCAAATTATACTTTATACTTTATATAGCCAGGATAACAAGCACCTGAGATTTGAATTAATTTTAGTATGTGTTTTACATATGACGGCTTATCAAGTTAATTAGGATGTTAATAATTATCGCACCAAGACCAATTTTGTTTGTTATCAAAAAGTGCATTGTAAGCATATATCCTGGCTCCTTCTCACCTATTCGAATGCATTGATATCTGGAGACAGACTTCTGGTGGACCATAAAACTCCGCACTGTTCGATCTCAATATCCCAGTGTCTCCTTCACTTAGCATCCAATTACGCATAGGTATCTCAAGCAATAATTACAGTGAAACGGCCCTTTCGAATTGAATCCCATTCCTGCATATCGCATCCTGAGCAATAACGGCTAACGACACGTCGTCGACAATGCCGTCATTGCCGTCAACAGCTCGCCAACAGCGCTTGCCATGCCGCTCGCCGATGATGTCGTAACCCGATTGTTCATTAAAAAGTGTGTAAAGCGGTCGTTAGCGTTGATTGTTACTGCCGACGCGTCGCCGCTGCCATTCGGACTCGGATGTTTTTCGATGGGGTTTGCTGTGTCGCTTTGTCACAGTTTTGTTGGGGATTGAAAACAATGAGGTTCGGAGCAGAATGTGGACATACAGTTATGAACATGGAGGTGATACTGCCACCTATGAGTGTCCGCCAATCGAGGTACTGCCGATCCCACGTCCGTAGCAGGATACTACAGTTCTCTGAATGACAGTCCACTAACCGACCATA